ATATACAGTGAAGAAAATAAGTATTTGAACACCCTGCGACTTTGCAAGTTCTCCCACTCCCTTCCCATGGAGGCGTCTGAAATTTTCATCTTAGGTGCATGTCCACTGTGAGAGACATAATCTAAAAAAAAAAAATCCAGAAATCATAATGTATGATTTTTTTAATAAATTATTAGTGTGTTACTGCTGTAAATAAGTATTTGAACACCTGCCAATCATTTCTGGCCCTCAAAGACCTGTTAGTCCGCCTCTGAAAAGTCCACCTCCACTCCACTTATTATTCTCAATTAGAAGCACCTGTTTGAGGTCGGTAGCTGCATAAAGACACCGGTCCACCCCACACAATCAGTAAGACTCCAACTACTAACATGGCTAAGACCAAAGAGCTGTCCAAAGACACCAGAGACACAATTGTAGACATCCACAATGCTGGAACGGGCTACGGGGCAATTGCCAAGCATCTTGGTGAAAAAAGATCAACTGTTGAAGCAGTTACTAGAAAATGGAAGAAGCTGAACATGACTGTCAATCTCCCTCGAACTGGGGCTCCATGCAAGATCTCACCTCGTTGAGTATCAATGATCCTAAGAAAGGTGAGGAATCAGCCCAGAACTACACGGGAGGAGCTGGTCAATGACCTGAAGAGAGCTGGCACCACTGTTTCCAAGGTTACTGTGGGTAATACACTAAGACGTCATAGTTTAACATCATGCATGGTACGAAGGTTCCCCTGCTTAAATCAGCACACGTCCAGGCCCGTCTTAAGTTTGACCATGACCTTTTGGATGATCCAGAGGAGTCATGGGAGAAAGTTATGTGGTCAGATGAGACCAAAATAGAACTTTTTGATCTTAATTCCACTCGCCGTGTTTGGAGGAAGAAAAATGATGAGTACCATCCCAAAAACACCATCCCTACTGTGAAGCATGGGGGTGGAAGCATCATGCTTTGAGGGAGTTTTTCTGCACATGTGTACAGGACGACTGCACCGTATTAAGGAGAGGATGACCGGGGCCATGTAGTGAGAGATTTTGGGGAACAACCTCCTTCCCTCAGAACATTGAAGATGGGTCGTGGCTGGGTCTTCCAATATGACAATGACCCGAATCACACAGCCAGGAGAACCAAGGAGTGGCTCCGTAGGAAGCATATCGAGGTTCTGGAGAGGCCTAGCCAGTCTCCAGACCTAAACCCTATAGATAATCTTTGGAGGGAGCTCAAACTCCATGTTTCTCAGTGACAGCCCAGAAACCTGGCTGATCTAGAGAAGATCTGTGTGGAGGAATGGGCCAAACTCTCTGCTGCAGTGAACCTGGTGAAAAACTACAGGAAACATTGGACCTCTGTAACTGCAAACAAAGACTACTGTACCAAATATTAACATTGATTTTCACAGGTGTTCAAAACTTCAAATACTTATTTGCAGCAGTAACACACAAATACATTATTAAAAAATCATACATTGTGATTTCCGGATTTTTATTTTTTAGATTATGTCTCTTACAGTGGACATGCACCTAAGATGAAGATTTCAGACCCCTCCATGATTTCTAAATGGGAAAACTTGCAAGTTGCAGGGTGTTCAAATACTTATTTTCGTCACTGTATGTGTATGTATGTATGCATATGTGTGTGTGTGTGTGTTTTATGTAGGTCTTCATTTAACACAGTCGTTTTAAACAAATATATTTTCATTTTCTCTTCCAGACCAGCGTCTAGATCTGTGTAAGCTGAACCCTTCTGACAGTGATGCAGTGAGGGGGCAGATTGTAGGTAAGGATGAACACGAACATGTGTTTAGGCTACAACTATCATATAGTTTATTAATCACACATTCTGTTGAGTAATCATTTGACTGAGTAATAAAATTTATAAGTACTTTTCCAGCTGTTCCCAACCTTTCCAAATGGAATCCTTTGACTTGTACTTGCTGTAAAGGCTGCGCCTGCCTTCGCTGTATCATGAAATGTTCTTCCAAAACCATCCATCAGTTTTCTTTAGCCGCTTCTCGTTTGCGGGTCTTTAGGGTCTTTTTCCACCAGTCTCTGTGATGGAGACGGGGAACACCCTGGACAGGTCATCAGTCACATGGACACGTAGAGACAAACAACCATTCACTCTCTCACTCACACCTAGAGACAATTTAGAGTTACCAATCAGTCTATCATGCATGTTTTTGTTCTGTGGGAGGAAACCTGGAGAAAACTCACGCATGCACGGAGAGAACATGCAAACTCCACCCAGAAAGGTTGAGACGTGACCTCGTTGAGAGGCGACAGCTTCTTTCCAAACGTTTATTTATTATAAGCTAAGCCAACGGTCAAGTGGGTCTTGTCAGGATGTTTGTAACAGTCTGTTACCCCCCCCCCCCACACACACACACAAAGTTTCTGACAGGTATGTAGAGTGGAAGCATTACCTGAAACATCCTGTTCTTCGACAATCCAAAACTTGTCTTTTGTATGTTTTTGAAACGTTTTTTGACACTGAAACCGTTTGAAGGAAGGCGAGCTCCTCATCATAGCTCAGATGTTGCAAGTCGTCTGTGCTTAACATAAAGTTCAACAGGTGACTCCTAAAACGAACACGTCAGTGCCGGTGAAATAAGAGCTAAATTCTTTAAGAACCAGTTTCACTTTTGTGCATAAAAATGTATTGTCACTGTTCGATCTGTCACTTGCTTCTCCGTCACGCTGTCAGCTCTTTGACCTTCACGCCCTTCTTGTTTCCAGTGAGTCTACAGACGCGAGATCGGATCGGCGGTGGCACCGTTGTAGACTGCAGAGGATTGTTGGAAAACGATGCGTGAGTTTGTCGCCTCGTTGTTCTGTAGATAATGCCAACTTCATTTTAAAATGATACTGAGTTCCCTCACCATCATTTATTTATTGATCCCTCTAATTAAAAAAGTTACTTTTTAAAAAAAGCTGACTCATTTTTTTCTCCTTCCAACCCAGGCCTGTGTTTGAGGGGTGTTTCAGTGAGGAACCGCTGCCCTACTCTGACCCCACTGGTGCTGCGGGAGGCGGGAACTGCCGGCTGGACTCCCCGGGTCAGGAGAACCGTCTTCAGTCGCAGCGAATCAGAGGGCAGGACTCCAGAGGTCACGGCCACACCCCTCAGAACAGACCCCACGGACATCAGCCGCCTGACCTTCCGGAGGGATACGGTCAGTTCAGAACGTTAAATGTAACCGATCCGAAACAAATACGAACAGTTTATAATGTTTGTTGTTGTTTTTTTCCCAAACAGAGCAGCGAACCACCGTTCAGGGCCAGGTGTACTTCCTTCACACACAGACAGGGGTCAGCACCTGGCACGACCCTCGGATACCTCGGTAAGATTTCACCGCGTTTCCTTGCTTGGTTCTGGTCCAACAGAACCTGAATATAGATGAGATCCGCCCACATTTTTTGTGTTAACATCACATAAAAAACACAGTGAACAAAAAATAATTGTCAGCGACTGACAGTTGTTCCTATTTCTGCTACAGGGACCTGGCAAGTAGGAGCTGTGAGGAACTCGGTCCATTACCCGTGGGCTGGGAGGTCCGAAGCACTGTGTCCGGACGCATCTACTTTGTGGACCACAACAACAGAACCACACAGTTCACAGATCCACGTCTTCACACCATTATCAGGTCCTGAAATGTTTGTTTGTCTCAAACGGAAGGCTCGGTGCTCACTTTTTTAGTGTTTACTTAACAAGAAGTTTCAGGATTATTCGCTTGTTAATCTAATTTGTTGTAATAAATAATAAAACGGTCTGAATCTGAACATGGCCTGCTAACACTCATCAGCTATCTGCAACAATGGCGGCGGAGTCCAACATACTGCTTTTCTGAGCTACGACTGCTGAAATATATTTTTAATCTCGTATTTAATTAATCTACACCAGAATGTAGCTGCTGTGACCGACATCTGTGTTGGAAGAGACTCCAGTCAGATCCAGTTCTAATATCGCTGTTTATTGAACAAGGCAGGCGGATATTTCATGTGTCACACTGCACTAACATACTAAATGTGCTAAATAATAACAGTTTAACAATAGTAAACAGTATTTATGTTAGCGTGGGAGATGTAATGAAGTTATCCGAGCTAAATGAAGCTATCTGGACATTATGTAATTCAAGTTATGTGATTTAAATTATACGAAACATGTTGCATGTTGCTAAAGTTGAAAATGAAGACATCAGGTTTAATTTTTATTTATTTATTCAACACCACAAACTGTATGTCACACAAACACTGATGATTAAACTGAACACACTATTAAAAACATGTTAACCGAACTGTAACTACATTAATGAACTGGACTCTTCCTCTGTTGTCATCCTGGATATACTGGTCCCATGTTGTTCATCTGGCTCGTTCAGGCTGTCACTTCTTTGCTTAATGCAGCTTAAAACATTCAGTGGATTGGAAAAAAGAATTGGGGGGATTTTAAAATAAATCGTTCATCCAACATCTCTCTCTTCCACGTCCTCCGGCACCAAACCTGGGTCGAGACTCGTTCAGAACCGGTCCACCTCTGGTGGGAGGACAGCTTCTTCTCTCAGGAAAAATTTAAATAAAAACTCAGTTGTTGTGTAATCGAAGCAAACACAAGCAAATATTAAGAACGTTGATTTACCTGCTGTAAACCAGCTACTGATTATCACGGAGTAGAAAGTCTTGACATTATCCTCGTCTGTTCTGGTCCGCTCAGCGACCGGTGTGGAGCTGTTGGATGAAGCGGTCACGCTTGGCGTCAATTCTGTCGACTCTTATCCAAAATCCAACTTTAACTTAATCAGGTCTCTTGTAAATGAGTCCCCGAGGCTCAGTGGGATTCACCTGTCTAAATAAAGGTTGAATGAATGAAAACTAGGAATGTACGATATGGCATAAAATTTATATCGCTATATGTATTGTGAAGGGTGGAGAAAACGATATATATCACAATATGTTTTTGGTATAAAACTTGCAATAGGAATTTTAAAAAAGCATAGGGTGTCCTTTTGCCATCATATTTTTTGAATTAAGAAAATTCCACTACTAGGTCCAGAGAGTTATTAAATAATAAACAAATCAAGTATTAGGCTTCTTTCTTGTAGTGCAAATCAGTGCAAAAGATATCAAATGTAGTTTTAGCCACATGTTTTAAACAAAAGAATATGTCGTAAGAAATGAACAGCAACAGAGCAGCATTTTACACTGAAACACTTCACCCTCCAACCCTCTAGTGGACGACTCCTTCTGCTTTAAGGAGAGCTGACACAAAATGAGTCTTTCGCACAGTTTTCAACAACGACAACAAAAAAAAAGAATTAAATCTGACAACTCTGATTTTACTTCAGACACAGCATTACTATGGTTAGCCGGTAGAAGACATCTCTATCGCAGGCTAAATTTCTATCGTTTCTACTGTATATATCACCCATTCCTAATGAAAACTTGTTGTTAAGTTGTTGATAGCTGAGATTTCAGTCTAGAGGAAAGTCCTTACAGGGAGCGATCCAAGGGAGCGATCCAAGTCAGCCCGCCTGTGCATTAGGTGAATGTACAAAATTCACAGCGCCAACTAATGACCCGGCATGAAAACTACAGTGGATTTGCGGGGGCGGGGATTCCTGCTGGTGCATGTAAACACAAAATCTGTCTGTGTCAACGTGGATCTTTTCCTTGAATTAACATACAAAAAAAACGTGTTTCCCCCCACCGTGTCTGTGTAAATAGGGCCTTAGTTAACACTTCATAGGGGTGTGATTTACAGAAGTGTGTGTTTATGGGAGGTGAAGCTTCACAGAGTTTAATCCTCTCTTCCCTCCTGACATTCCTCCATCTCATCATGTTCCTTCTTGTCTCCTCCTCCTCTACTTTCTTTTCACCTTCCAGCCAGCAATCTCAAGTAAAAGAAACCTCCCAGCCCCCTCAGATGGAAGTGGGGGTTGAAGAGGGGGGAGTCGGAGGAGTGAACGGTGGAGATGGAGATTTGGCGGTGCGCTATGAGAGAGACTTGGTGCATAAGTTGAAGCTGCTCCGCCACGAGCTATCGCTGCAGCAGCCTCAAGCTGGACACTGTCGTATAGAGGTGTCCCGCGAGGAGATCTTTGAGGTAAGGGGGACGGGGGGAGAGAACAACACCTACATGTGGAGGGAGGATGTCCTAATGAGGCAGACCTCTCAACTTTTACATCCCCTACAGTCCAACTCACTGTCGGAAATGTAAAACGATGGTCTATTAAAGGATTGGGGAAAATATGTTCAAACATTAATTATAAAAAGTTCATGTTTTGGATTCCTTCGAGGAAAAGCCTTTAATATTATTGTTGTGTTTGAGCAGTTTAATGTCTGTGTTTATAGGAGTCGTATCGACAGATAATGAAGATGAGGCCCAAAGACCTGAAGAAGCGGCTGATGGTGAAGTTCAGAGGAGAGGAGGGTCTGGATTATGGAGGGGTGGCCAGGTGATTTATTTTACATGCCTGATGAGTCGTCTCTCTCAAAGTGGACCAAGTCCACAGAAAATAAATCGCAGTAGAAGTAAAATAAAAACTGGTACATGTTTGACTGGGAAGAATGATGCAAATATTTATCATTTCAGTTTATATTTGGATATGTTGCGCTGCATACAGAGTTCCTGTAGCAGCACATAATAACCATTCATTTTCTACTTCTATTATCTAATCTCGGCTTTTTGTTTTCTTTTGTGTTGTGTGTTAAATGACCGTTGCAAGTGTTTTGTAACGACAATTAAATAAAGTAAAAATATAATAATAATTGGACATTTTGTCCATATTAACCAGTGTCAAACATGCATCTTGATTCTTGGGAATGACTTACTTATTTACAACTACAGTAATTTTTAAGTTATTTTAAATGGTTTGTATTTTTTTCTTTTTTAATTCTTATGTTTATTTAAGTTTGTAAATATAACAGCAAAATCTAAGTGTCTTGCGTTCAGTGCGTTAAAGCTGGTGACTTGTGTGTAATTGTTGACGATGCTTGTGTTTAGGGAGTGGTTGTACCTTCTGTGCCATGAAATGTTGAACCCGTACTACGGCCTGTTCCAGTACTCCACGGACAACATCTACACGCTACAGATCAACCCCGACTCTTCCATCAATCCTGTGAGGGTTTTCATTGTTTCATTCACGTACGATGGAGTAATCCGGTTGTCTGACTCGTCTCTCACACTTCCTCTTTAAGGACCACCTGTCATATTTCCACTTCGTGGGTCGAGTCATGGGCCTGGCGGTCTTCCACAGTCACTACATCAATGGGAGCTTCACTCTGCCCTTCTACAAGCAGCTGCTCGGCAAACCCATCCAGCTCAACGACCTGGAGACCACGGACCCCGAGCTGCACAAGAGCCTCATCTGGATATTGTGAGGATAATCGGATCATCTATCTGAAGCACTTACTGTTTAATTTGAGTACAGTAGTTCCTTGTTTATTGCGGAGGTTCGGTTTCCAACCCCCCTCTCCCTGCAATAAGTGAAAAATTGCGAAGTAGGGAAGTAATAGTAGTAGTTTATTTCAGTATTTATATATGTTAAGGCTTTAGAAGCTCTTCCCACACTCTTGCAATGTTCTAAACTCTTAAACCTACATCATTTTAACAACATATGTACAGTATTGTACATGTAGCTACTAAATTTTACTTACAGGTGTGTCCCCAGAGCTCTTGGGTTCACTGCTGAGTCTGCAGGTCTGGTTCTGGTTCAGTGCAGCTCTTGAGCTTCGAAGCACATTTGGGGGGAGGGCAGATCTTCTGTTGGCTGGCGTGGGACCGTATGTGGTGGATTGAGTCCAAGTCTGGATGAAAAAAGTCCCAATGGGCAACGAAAATGGGTCCGGACCTTCGGCACACGTTCGCGCTTAGAAGTCCACGTGGACCAGCTACCAGCTCTCAAGGTTCACTAATGGGTCTGTAGGTCAGGTTCTGATCCAATTCAGGTCCAGTTTGATGGGTTCAGTGCAGCGTCTCTTCATCCGATGGGCACCGATCCGATCAAAACTTTACCTCTGTTATTTTCAGCAGAAGGAAACGGGGCTTCTAGACAGGGCCCTGTTGCCTTCTGGGAAATGTGGTAATTATGATTGGGAATACAGTGGAGGCTTACTGAAAGAAAAACTACAAAATGGCGGCGCCTGTCCGAAGTATTTTATTTTTTCCTTAACTTTTTACTGTACTGTACAGTACTGTACTTTTTACTGTACAGTATCCAGTACTGTCCCAGTCACGTGAGTAACACTAACGATGACAATCACGTGTCCTGTACAAATTTGTATCCAATGTCGAACCGCGGAGTATCGAGGGACTACTGTACTTCTCTTTTGACTTCTGCTCAGTTTTGCTAACTTTACTGTCTTTGTGTAGAGAAAACGACATCACTTCGGTCCTGGATCACACGTTTTGCGTGGAGCACAACGCCTTTGGGAAGTTCTCACAACACGAACTGAAACCTAACGGCAGAAATATCTCAGTCACGGAGGAGAACAAGAAGGAATACGTCAGGTATCAACGGCTCTCCGTAGTTCTTGTAGTTGTTGAACACTTCCCCCAGATAAAAGCGTGTCCGTTTAATTTGGTGTATTAATTTTTCTGATGTTTACGACGTGTTGCAGACTCTATGTGAACTGGAGGTTCATGCGGGGAATTGAAGCCCAGTTTCTGGCTCTACAAAAAGGTTTCAGTGAGCTGATCCCGCAGCACCTCCTCAAACCTTTTGACCACAAAGAGCTTGAGGTAAACGTTTCATTTTCAGATAATTAATTGGTATTTAAGTAAAAAAAAAAAAAGCTTAAATACAGAAAATTGCAGTTAATCACCCTTTAATATTCTTTCTATTTCATTGCAATACAACCTGAATTTAAAATGATTTTTTTTGTGATCTACAAAATATTCCCTGGACAAGGATAAAAGAGGAAATAAACTTAGTTATTAAAAAAAAAGTGAAATTGTAAAGTTGTGCATGTGTGAGTATTCACTCTGCTTTAAAGCCCCAACCATCATCTTAGAAGTGACATCATTAGTAAAATAAGACCCACCTCTGGGTTCAGACAGCAGCTCATTCACACCGCAGCTCTTAATGCTCAGTTCCAGTTTTATGTGCGATTGTTCACATGATTTAAATGTGACCGTCATCGGACTCCAGTGTGAAGAGTACATGACCCTGAAGTGAGCCACGACTCATCTGTTCCACACCGCACCAGTTTAGTGCCTGCCCACTGCCGATACCCACCTCCACTCAGACCAGTTTATGGGGCCACCTTGTTTGAGGTTCAAAGCAGACTGCTCTGAGGGGCCGATTTTTAACGTAGACAGATAGCAGCTGTTGATTGACCAGCAGAGCTACGTCACTGGATGACCCGCCCAGCAAAACATTAAACTGAACCTTCCCTTTCTCCTCGTGTTGCCGGACGGCTCCACAACAAATGAGTGCATTTAATCAGAGATGATGGCACAGCATGGCTACACCTGGACTTATAAGCAGTGCCGGGATAAGCTAAAGAAACTGAAGTGAGATTCTAGGGCGATTAAAGACGACAACGGGCCGAGTGGCTCGAACACAATGATCTGTTACGATCCCGCCCACAGAGCTGGGAAACAAGTCAAAATGGCAAATCACCTCCACCTGAGAAGAACCGATAAGACGAGAACCGAGTGGAGTCGCACGTATTATCAATGGTAAAGCGGCTAAAGATGACCCTGGTGGAGCTGGACAGCTCATCTGTAGAGATGCTCGTATCTCTTGTGGCCCCAGGGCCGCCCTTTGAAAAGCCCTGGTATGCATTATGCACACCACTTTTTGGAGTTATCTAAAATAAGTTATTTCCCGTTTTAACTTTAATAATCTAAAGAACAGTGTTTGAAAGTTTGTGAACCCTGTAAAAAAAATTATACTTCTGCATAAATATAACAAAGCATCATCAGTTTTTCACACAATTCCTAAAATTAGATCAACAAATGAGACGGAAATATTATACTTGGTAATTTATTTATTGAGAGAAGTCATCCGATATTGTGATCCAAAGAGTTCGCAAACTTTCAAGCACCACTGTATTTTTTTCAACATTTTTAGTCTATAATCAAATTATAAATTCCAGGTTGTAAGTGAACAAAATAAAAGGATTACCAAAAGAATGTAAATATATTTAATACTGTATGTAAACACCTAATTCAGTGCTTGTAAAAACTTGGATCCCTCCATTCTTGTCAGCTGCTTTAAGCATTATTAGGAAGTTTTAATTCATGTTTTGGTTGGGTCACCTTTACATCCTAATGTTTTCTCCATCTTAACGTCTCCAGCTGATCATTGGTGGGCTTGGAAAGATAGACCTTGCGGACTGGAAGGCCAACACCCGCCTGAAACACTGCACAAGTGAAAGCAACGTGGTTCGGTGGTTCTGGCAGGCGGTGGAGGACTTCAGCGAGGAGAGGAGAGGGCGCCTCCTGCAGTTTGTCACAGGCTCCACCCGGGTCCCACTACAGGGGTTCAAAGCTCTGCAGGGTGGGTCATGCACTGACTCCACTCAGATTATTAAAAATAATATTAGTTTATGACAGCAACGATGGTTTTATTTCTTTACATACAAATGAGTCTTATTCTTGTGGAAATGTTTTGAGAAGGCCTGAATGTTCTTTAAATGTTGACTTGAACTCTACAAAACAAGCAGAATGGATTTCTAAGCTGTTGGTAATCTCTTTAAATTAACTTTGTTTGACAACCAGTACTCAGATATTTATGCTACCTATTAAAAAAACCTTGGCACAAATGTCAAAAAGCTAAATATGAAGTAATACCATTTAATTTCCAGGTTACTTACCAATGATATTAATAAATATTCTGCAAATCACACTTTTTGACACTCAGAAGAGGAGATGGTGACCAAAACGTTCAGCTATGTTACAGAAGAACGTGACAATGTTAGACACTCGTTGTTGCTTTTTCTAAACACTATCATAGTCTTTGTTTTTTAACAGAAGTTATCTTGTTTACTGGAAAGCAGAAACAAAACTTAGAGCAACTCGAAAGTAAAATAAGCTAATTTATTAAACAAGAAAAAACAAAATGCTGATGTGGCAGTAAAAATGTTCACGAGGGTAAAAAGCACTAGTAGATTTGAAAGGGTACAAACTAGAACGGCTCGTGAAGCAAAACACACGAACACAAGGGAGAAAAACGGCACAGGCTTTAAATGGAAACGGATGAGGGAGAAATCACACCTGCGGAGAGACGATGAGTAGGAGCTGAAAGCTAAAACAAGTCAAACAAAATGACGGAAAACTAAATGAATGACACAAGACACAGAGCATGACAGAAGTTTAGATGCTCCCGTTGATTTTTCTAGTTTCCTTGAAAAGTTTAAGCCATGCAAAGAAATAATTTGGCTTTCTTTAAGCAGTAATCTTATCTGGGCCAAATCCAAAGTAGATGTTTTCTAAAACAAAATAATTATTTAAATAAATTAAAAAAAAAAAACTTTATATACTCTTTATGTAAATGCCATTTTTTTAGTCCATCACTATTTACTCTGGAGACAGTTTGTTACCAACATCTGAAGCGCTTGATGTAAAATGGACTATATTAAATGTAACCTGGAATATCAGCATAGTAAAATCAGCAATACAGCATTTGCTTAAACCTCAATAAATACTTTAGTTTTACACTGTTTTAGTCTTTGCACCAGGGGTTGTTTTTCTGGCTGGTCACACTTAGCACGTTTCATTTTGCAACACAAGCTTTATATAAATCACTGCTGGTAATAAACTGTAGGATAACTGGTCTTCAGAGAAAATGTTTTGATATAAATAACATTTCAGAGAACTCACCACAGAAATTTACACCAAAAACTCAGGCACTTTGACAAATATTGAGCTAAAAGCTGGTGTGGTAGTAGCCGAGAGTCATCTTCAACTCATACTCTGGAACAACTTTCAGGAAAGGATCATTGAAGTCAACTCAATTTGAGATGGTCCCCATAGCTAATAGACATTTGCCAACAGAAAAATTATTACAACTTACTCAGATTTACAAATATTTACCTAAAGTTTAACGTGAGATTCAGTCTCAACGCATACTCTGCACTAGAGCTGTCGTTTCTAATCCGAAACCCGTCTCGGACCGACCCGGATTAGGGCCAGGCTTGGTCGTTATAATGTGATTAATGGGCGGGCCGGTCTCGGTCTTTTAATTAGGTCAGGATCAGTCGCGATCCAGTTATATGATAACATGGCCTGCCATACTTTCACCAGCCACACATGGCCGTTTCACCACGAGCTGACCGGCCTTGAAAGAGGTGAGAATCAAACAAATCAAACAGGTGAGATCATAAAGCAGACGCGTGTCAAAGCTGTCCTCGTGTCTCAGTAATTCAGAAGAATGCAGCAGAAACGGGGTTTAAAAATGCTTTTTATGGCCATGAAAGTACAAACCCCTCTTAGCTCCAAATCTTCTGCATCTTTTATTCAGCTGTGCGTCCCTGACCGTTAATAACTAATTAAAAATGTCTGGGTTTAATCCGGGTTCGGACCTGTAATTACTGTTAATTCGTCGGGTCGGATGGGGTTTGGAAATTATGACCGCGGGCTGGGGCCAGGTCGGATCAGATTTTCTGGGCCCGAATGCAACTCTACTCTGCGCTCACAGATCTTTTGAAATATCACGAGATCAAACATAACGTTTACTAAGGTTGACCATCTGACCTGTAAGATGGTGGGTGAGCATTTCTTCAAAGAACGCTAGATCTTTGACCGTATTTACCGTATTTTCCTCCGTAAAGTCGTACCACCCTATAAGTCGCGTCAGTCCAAATATGACTAGTAAAGTGGAAAAATCCATAAATACGTCCCATCTATTATGCATCATCGCTGACAACCCAGAAATATGGGCAGGTGTTGTGCCAAAAATTAATTGTCTGCCGAATGGTGGCCGTGGGAGCCTGCACAGGAGGACTTTAACAAGAATTTAACAGAATTAACACTTAAAAACAATTATTTGTTTGCTCGACTTTATAGTAAAGGTGTTTCTCTGTTGAATAATAAATGCACTTCATTGGTGAAATTAACTGCATTTCGCCGGTGCGGCGCAGCGAAATGAAGCTGATTTGACGGTTGCTCCGGGCGAGCTGGACGAAGGTGGGAGGCTGTGGCAAGCTGATTGTGTCATTAATAGCCATTTTTACCTATTACATGATACAACGGCATGCCATACTACTCTGCTGCCATCTAGCTGCTGAAAATGGTAGTGTTCAGTATTTTCAGTCAGAATGAATGATAACAGTCATATCTCAGCCAAAACTTGTTTTATAAGTATGGGAAAAAATTCATAAATATGTTGCTTCGGCGTAGAAGTCTCAGGGCATGTAAATTATGTAAAAATCTTCGACTTATACAGTGAAAAATACAGTAAACAGTTTAGCTAAATGGCCGGACATACCAGTCTGCCTTCCTCGTTCTCCTTTCTCTGGCCGTTCATAAATCACAGATGAAGCCACCACGTCCTGTTTAGATGTGAGCTTTCAGAAATGAAGCGGTGCAGAGCAGAACCCAAAGAAGCGTGGAGCAGAACTCAGCTGGGTTGAAGCGGAGCGCGGTGCGTTAACTCTGTGTCGGACATCCTCCTCATTTACAGAAATTAATGAATGAACTCACTGGAGCGGTCCTCAGTGTGCGATCCTCTCGTCGCTGAGGGATTTGATTAGTGAATGTTTGTAGCTTTTGAGATGAGAGTTTTTCTGAACTGGATTTTAAAGTGACAACCCGGTTTTTGATGGTGACCTTTCTTATGCCTAAATGCAGCCATACTCCAAAATGGAAGCCAGAATCTCACTTAGTTTTCAAGAAATCATTCTCACGACACCGAAAGGCATTTATTATCGGCCATCTTGGATTTTAACCCAGCAATCCAGTTTTCAAAATAACTTTTCTTACACCTAGATATAGCCACACACCAAACTAGAAGTCAACATGTTGTTTGTTATCCAACTCACAAGGTTTTCATACATACATGGCAGCAGACATGTTGGATTTTGACGTGACAACCCAATAATTGAAAGGAACCTTTCTTACGCCTAGATGTAGCCACACTAAAATAGAAGTCAGTATCTTTTTTGTTGTTCAAGCTATCATGTCCACAATATTCACTCTTTGTGACAGGAGACAATAAATCTGTTAATTGTTGTTTAATCCCCCATGCGGGTGATCGCACAATGTCATCAGTTCATCACATTTCTGAGCCGTGGCACCGCAGGTTGTATTTTCACATGTCGGCCGGCCCAGCTCTGTTAGTACCTCGCTCGGGGGGAAACAAAAACTTGTTCAGACTAGCCATTAGCTCGACTCCCCTGTGAAAACATCTGCTTGATATTTAAAACATTAACACTCTTAACAGAGTTCTGCAGGTAGGATATTTACTACTGACAACTCCACTGAGCCATACTTCCAAGAAATCCAATCTATTCCTTCAAATGTCAGAATTATAGTTTACAGCTGTCAAATATTGTTTGAAGTAAATTAAACCATCTGGTCTACTTGTAGATTTAATTGGAGCTTTTCCAGTTTATTGACTGACGGTTCCCCAAAGTAGAGCAGTGATAACTAGAATGTATGTGTGTAAGGCTCTACAGGTTCTGCAGGACCAAGGCTCTTCACCATCCACCTGATAGACGCCAACACGGACAACCTGCCCAAGGCTCACACCTGGTAAGGACACGCGGATGCAGGTTTGTCTCACGTTTGTCTCTGAAGGGGACTAACACTTTTCTCTCGTGTCCAGTTTCAACAGGATAGACGTCCCTCCCTACGAGTCTTATGAGAAACTTTATGAAAAACTGCTGACGGCCGTGGAGGAGACCTGCGGCTTTGCTGTGGAGTGACGAGTCCACCGCCAAGTCAACACACAGTTACACTCGCTTGCACTTGCACACAAACTGCAACATTTTTACAGACGCGCACACGGACCTTCAGAGTATACACGGCGTGTGCAGCGCAGCCACGCGCCACATGAACATACCGACTCTTTGCCACTTCTGAACCGCCGAACTGTTAGAGGCTAACAGAGGAGGCGCTGCAGGAGGAGGTGGAAAGAAAGAAGTATTTTCAACTTTTTTCCAATGTTTTGAAGAAGCGTTTTTATCCTTCGGTTTTAACAAGCTATGATGTCATTCTGAAGAATGTCGGCCCAGACTCCAGTCAGCATCAGCCAATCACGTAAGAGCCTGCGAACAGAGGCGGGTCGCTCTCCCTGACGAGCTGATCGATCGGCTCGATTCATGCTTCACATTTAACCACTGTCGTGTGCGCGCGTGCATGTGGGAGAGTAAGAATGTGTGTGTGAGTGTGCATGTTTGTGTGTGCCAGGCATGGCACTCAGTTATACTGTTTAAAAACAAAAAGATAAAATGAGCCTCTGTTTTTGTCTCATGTTTATACCTGCGACCACTTGGATCCACTCGGATATTTTATTATTTATTACTAAGTGATTACTGACCAAGCTGCTATTCGCTCTACAGTGAGCCATCACTAATCTCTTAATCTACCAGAGCTGAAGGGTCTATTTTCATGCAATGCAAGTAATCCACAAAGTGGGTTTTTATTGAATTTTGTTACTCTTAACATTCATGTTACTGTTGATGTGTTTCACAGTGCTGGGTTACAATAATTGAAGTGTAAAGGATTATTTTTAGCTCTATTTTTAAAGTCAAACTCATTTGAAGTTATAAAGATGCCCAAAGGTATGTATCAGATTTAAAAAAATACAATAAGCTTCAAGATGAAATGAAGAAGCCAGTTTTAGGAATTCATCTGTGCAAAGTATATTAAAATCTCTACATGTTGCATCAAATTACCATCATTTTATTCATGATGTGTCGTTTTTTTACCCTCACTATAGCCTGAATGTTAGAAAAAAGTAGTCCTCATCCTTAAAACCACCATGAATGAATCTCTTCAGTCATGAAAGCTCCATAGCAGAGAATGAAATCAACCTGTGATGAGCACGAAACAGAAAAAAAGGTGTAGATTGAAGACTGTTAAGCAGTATTATTTCAATCTGCGTTTTCTATCGTCTAATTTCACTGTGTAATGGATGCAAAAGTATTGTAACTTACAATGTACTAAACATTTATGAGAAAATACGATGTAAATAAGATTATATTAAAAAGAAATTAAATTGAAAGTACCCTTGTGTTGTGTGGCTTATTGTTTCTTTGGTAAAATAATCAAGCTACAATAAGTTCAAAAGGCGTTCAATACAAAAACAACTGGACTTTATTTGTAACAGAAGACGTTTCGCTCCTCATCCGAGGAGCTTTCTCAATTCAAAGAGCAGAGAGTGAGAGATACAGGTTATAAGGCTGAGTGAGATAACACACACACACATAAGACACACACACACACATACTGTATATGTAGATTGACAATTCACACCTAAACACCTTAACAGTATCTTTGTTACTCTAATTCACAGTTGAGGCCCCTCTGTTTCCATCAGGTGTGAAAACCGGCTGGGAATCTGTTTTAAAGTTGCATTATATGTTTTAGAAAGAGGAAATCTGAGGCCTCCTCCTCGAGATGGTTTTTCTTTTACATAAATCGCTTCCTTCACCCCCCTCTCAAACCATCTGTGTTCTCGGTCCAAAATGTGCACATTTTGGTCCTCAAAAGAGTGTCCCTTATCTGTGAGGTGGAGGTGAACTGCGGAATTTTGTCCAGAGGAGGTGGCTCTCCTGTGTTGAGTCATGCGTCTGTGAAGAGGCTGTTTAGTTTCTCCAATGTAGAGGTCTGGACAGTCCTCGCTGCACTGGACCGCATACACTACACCACTCTGTTTGTGTATGGGTGTCTTGTCCTTAGGGTGGACCAGCCTCTGTCTGAGAGTCCTGCTGGGTTTGAAATGTACTGGAATCTTGTGTTTGTTGAAGATCCTTCTGAATTTCTCTGATACTCCAGCAACATAAGGGATGACAATGTTTTTACGTCTGCTGTTCTCCTTTTTCTGTTTATTGGTGTGTTTTGTAGATTTCCTCGCTGACTTGACAAAAGCCCAGTTAGGATATCCACATGTTTGAAGAGCATCTTGAATGTGTTTCTGTTCCTTTTCCTTCCCTTCTGTCTTCGTGGGGACGCGTTCGGCCCGATGTTGTAAAGTTCTGATGACAGAGTTTGTGTTCCAGTGGATGGTGGGAGTCAAACAGAAGATACTGGTCTGTGTGGGTTGGTTTTCTGTACACTTCAATGTTGAGGCTGTCCTCTCTCTCCATCTTAACCAAACAGTCCAAAAAAGCCAGCTTGTTGTCGTTTGCATCCTCTCTGGTGAACTTGATGTTGTTATCGACCGAGTTAATGTGTCTGGTGAACGCTTCTATTTCCTTGGCTTGGATTTTGACCCAGGTGTCATCCACATAACAGAACCAATGGCTTGGCGTTGTTCCCTCAAAGGAGTTAAGGGCTCTCTGTTCCACTTCCTCCATGTAGAGATTGGCAACAATGGGTGACACTAGAGATCCCATGGCACAGCCGTGCATCTGTCTGTAAAAACTGTCATTGAACTTGAAATAAGTGGTGGAGAGGCAGAGGTCCAACAGGGTGCAGATCTGGTCCGGGGTGAAGTTGGTCCTGTTGATTAAGTCCTTGTCTTGTAGAAGTTGTTTTCTGACGGTTTCTACTGCTTCAGAGATGGGTATGCATGTGAAAAGAGAAGTCACATCATGCGATACAAAGGTTTCTCCTGGGGTTAGTTTCAAATCTTGAACTTTGTTAGCAAAATCAATGGAGTGACGAGGTGTGTTTCCAACAAGAGGAGCTAAAATACCAGCCAGATGTTTAGCAATATTGTATGTCACTGAGTTCATGCTGCTGACGATGGGTCTGAGTGGTGTTCCTTCTTTGTGGATTTTTGTCCATAAAGACAGGGAGTGGCTTCCCCTGGGTACAATCTATAATACAACGATTGATTGATTGTTTTCTCCTTTTCAAGTTTTTGTAGGTAATCTGTGACTTTCTTTTTATAGGTGCTGGTTGGGTCCCTCCTCAGGGTCTCATAGGTGTTACTGTCGCTCAGTAGTGTAGTTATTTTTTCCTGGTAATCAGAAGTGTTGAGGACTACTGTGCATCTTCCTTTATCAGCTGGTAAAATGGTGATGTTTTGGTCCTGGCTGAGTGATGTTACAGCTTTCCTTTCCTGTGGTGTGAGGTTTGAAGGAGGCAGTTTGGCACTGGAGATGGTTGCTGATATTTTCATTCTGAGTTGTTCTGTCTCTGTTTCCATCAAGTTGTTGTTCCTAATCGCGGATTCAGTGGCCGTGATTAGTTCCACAACAGGTATTTCTTGTGGGGAGATGGCAAAGTTTAGTCCTTTTGCCAACACGTCTTTCTCAGGTTGTGTCAAGGTCCTGTTAGACAAGTTTCTAACCCACTGGTCCTGAAAATTAGCGTTGGCAACAACCTCCTGATCTTGACTGATGGTTTGTGATGAGAAAACAGATATTTGCTGTTATTTAAGAAACTTACTTTTCAGATGGAGAGAGAGGACAGCCTCAACATTGAAGTGTACAGAAAACCAACCCACACAGACCAGTATCTTCTGTTTGACTCCCACCATCCACTGGAACACAAACTCTCTGTCATCAGAACTTTACAACATCGGGCCGAACGCGTCCCCACGAAGACAGAAGGGAAGGAAAAGGAACAGAAACACATTCAAGAAGCTCTTCAAACATGTGGATATCCTAACTGGGCTTTTGTCAAGTCAGGGAGGCAATCTACAAAACACCAATAAACAGAAAAAGGAGAACAGCAGACATAAAAACATTGTCATCCCTTATGTTGCTGGAGTATCAGAGAAATTCAGAAGGATTTTCATCAAACACAACATCCCAGTACATTTCAAACCCAGCAGGACTCTCAGACAGAGGCTGGTCCACCCTAAAGACAAAACACCCATACACAAACAGAGTGGTGTAGTGTATGTGATCCAGTGCAGCGAGGACTGTCCAGACCTCTACATTGGAGAAACTAAACAGCCTCTTCACAGACGCATGACTCAACACAGGAGAGCCACCTCCTCAGAACAAGATTCAGCTGTTCACCTCCACCTCACAGATAAGGGACACTCTTTTGAGGACCAAAATGTGCACATTTTGGACCGAGAACACAGATGGTTTGAGAGGGGGGTGAAGGAAGCAATTTATGTAAAAAGAGAAAAGCCGTCTCAACAGAGGAGGAGGCCTCAGATTTCCACTTTCAAAAACCTATAATGCAACTTTAAAACAGATTCCCAGCCAGTTTTCACACCTGATGGGAACAGAGGGGCCTCGTCTGTGAATTACAGGAACAAAGACTTTTGGGGGGCCCCTACTGTTAAGGTGTTTAGGTGTGAATTGCCAATCTACATATAATGTGTGTGTGTCTTATCTCACTCAGCTTTATAACCTGAATCTCTCACTCTCTGCTCTTTGAATTGAGAAAGCTCCTCGGATGAGGAGCGAAACGTCTTCTGTTACAAATAAAGTGCAGTTGTTTTTGTATTGAACGCCTTTTGAATTCATCATGTCCTGGATGACTGAGAATCTTCACCAGCTACAATAAGTTAAATTTATATTGAATACTTAAAACAGTAAAAAACATTTAGTGGAAAAGCTTATTAGAAAAAAACAACAAATATGTCTTTTTATTTTGATTACTTGTTTTTAATCTTTTCTTATATAGTTGGAGATTTATAGTTATTTTGGAAAAGTGGTTTTGCAAGTCATGTATTTATTTTTACAGAAAAATGTTTAAGCATTCTTAGCAAAGTTTCATGAATACAATAGAGGGGGAAAAAAGGTATTTCATTGTGTCTCAAGTATTTTAATTTGAACAGATTATAATTGTATCTATACAAGTTTATAAAGCACCAAGTCACAACAGAAGTCATCTCAGGGTACTGAACAGAAACATTTATATATATAAATAATAATTTAACATTTATCTGAGGAGCAGACTGCTCTGAGTTTAACTTCATCGCAGACTCTCATCTTGAGCAAGCATGAAGGCGACAGTGGAAAGAAAAAACTCCCTCATGAGGAAGAAACCTTTAGTAGAACCAGACTCAGGACAAGCGGCCATCTGCTTCGACCGGCTGGGTTTGAGAGAAACGGATACACAATAGCAGGTTATCACATGCTAAGGTAGAAACTGTAATGTCATTTAAGGAACCCGTTAAATGCTCTGCCCGCTTAATTTCTGAAAGCTCACATCTAAACAGGACTAGGGCTTTAACATACTACTCAACCTGGTTGTTGTTTCAACCAGTTTGACGTGACTTTCAACAAGGTAGAGGGCCAGCAATGGAGGAGGGGGCGTGCCAAAGACACCATCTTAGCACCAACATAACTGGTTTGTTCCACTTTGGAGTAAGCTGTTGGGGGAAGAATCAGTTTTGTTGTGTGTTTCCTTGACTGATGAAGCCATCTGGATCGAAGGTAAAACGTTTCAGCACAAAAAAAGAAACTGTCCAGATGACCTGACTGAAAAATGTTGGATTGTATACCTGGATTATTGAGCATGGACTTCGTTGTTATCATTTAAGGAAATGAGGTCAATTTGTCCTCCAGTAGTCTAAGCCTATAGCAGCATAACAAGCAACCCTAACTATAGGATTTATCAAAAAGGAAAGTCTTAATCCCAGTCTTAAAACTGGACAATGTGTCAGCCTTATGGACAGGAACTGGAAGTTGGTTCCACAAGAGAGGAGCCTGATAACTGAAAGATCTTTCTTCTACTCTAGGAACGGCAAGTAAGCCTGCAGTCTTGAGAGTGAAGTGCTCTGTTGGGAAAATATGGAACAATAAGATTTGTAATATAAGATGGAGCTAGGCTGTTGAGAGCTTTGCAGGCTAGATATATCCTATTAATAAAGATTTTCTGTTCATATCCTGGCTGCAGCAGACGCTCTGTAAAACTATTTTAATACAAGGGTTCTCAAATTGTGTGGGGGTCTGGGTAGAAAAAATTCTCAGGGACTCCCTCACAAATTTCATCCTTAAAACAATTTACGTACTGCCATTTTATCCACAAAGTGCCGTGAAATTTTATATATATATATATATGTGTGTGTGTGTGTGTGTGTGTGTGTGTGTGTGTGTGTGTGTATATATTCTGCGTTTGGTTAAGTATGTTTGTTTTACTGAGGTGTTGGTTCTTATATGTATTCTTATATGGATTTATGCACTTTTATTTTTTTACATGCTCCTCCAGGCTCCAACTCATGGACCCCTGGCCTGGGGGGTCCTGGGACCCCAATTTGAAAACCTGTTTTAAAAGATCCATGATTTTTTACTACAAGTTGACTTTAAAATAATAATGTGCTTATAAAACTAAATGATTAGTTGTTTTAAAAGTTTATCTTTCAACTGTTTTATATTTTTAAGTGATTTCGGGGCTGTTGTTGGAGACGTTCATAGCTGCTAACCCTAAGACTACATTTCCCAGAATCCCTCATTCGTGAATGACGAAAAGCATCTTGCGCGAGACGCTTCTTGTTCTTGTTTTGGCAGTTTCTTTCGTTTGGCTTGACACTGTATCAGGAAGGCGGACTTCAGGGCGCCGTACGACGACACTGTGGTATTTTTACATTTGTTTTCTTGATTTTAGGCAAACATTCCACACCTAGTTCGACTGATTTGAAGGAGGAGTGTTATGATTAAAAACTGGACAAGTCGGCTAACTAGTTATCCCACTAGCTAGCCAGTCATGCTAACGAGCGAACGGAAATGATCGATTAGTGCTCTGGCGTGTTTGTTTTTAAACTCCACCGTATTTAACTTTATTCTCTTACATTTTAGCTCTAATGTCAAGGTGACTAAAGCAACGCAGATCTTTGTGGCAAAATATGGCAACTGTCAGCTTCTCCCAAGTGTTAGCGAGCTTAATGATAGTAAACATCCCATCTTTGATCTAATGATTAGGCTTAACTACACTAGCGGGTAATGCCACCGAGGACATTTTAGATATACTTTAGTCGCGCAAATACATCAAATCAACTTTGAAATTAACTAGCAAAATGATTAGTAGCGAGTGATTTTTAACTCCACCATCTACTTCGAGCTTTCTGTTTCTTAAGCTCTTTGTTTATTTGCTAATCTTTCAGTTGAGTTCATGAAATAGTTGTTTTCTGTAAATGTTGCAGCATGCTAAAAAATGAAACCGCTTGGCAAATCCTGTGGGAATTCCGGAGTCAGTATTTTAGTTTGCGTGAACTCGCATTGACATGGTAGCATTGATTTGGAGCTATTATCAGGTTATCTCTGGAGGAAAGTACCCTATGTTGATATTCTGTTATGTCAAGTTCTGGGAGCTCTAATCTGTGTGTGTTTCTTTCTGGACCAGATGCTGCTGTTCGAGCTTTGAATCTGGTTCTGTGGGCTGATCTCAGGAAGTTGGTAAATGTAGTTTCACGATGGCAGATGGAAACAACGAGGACGATGTTATTCTCCTGGCAAGCTTCAATGTCCACAGAAGCCAAGGTGAGGCACATTCACAGCACCTACTGCAAACACTGCGTTCACACTATTTAACCAACCATATTTAACGAGAGTTACTTGGGCTTCATGATGACTTGTGTTTGCTGGTAGCCCAAACTACTACTTACTACAAACTGCAGGCAAAAGTGGCCCAAATCTGTTTAGGTTTTTTTTTTCTCCCCCAAATGGGACCTGCGGTCATGTGGATTACATCATGACAGTCTGAAGGTAATGAATGTGATATTTTTCTAATCTGGCCCAGCCCTTTTTTTGTACTATGTTTATCAAAGTGACCTCACTCTGAATGACCATGTCGTTTTTATCTGAGGTAGGCGTATGTGAATCGAAACAAATGTTGATAATATTGATACCAACTTTGTTTGGTTTAAATCTTTAAGCTTCACACGTGTTCAGCTACAGAACAGAAGTCTAGTTGCTCCGTCTTTGTTCTTTTATTTTGTTGTGTCCTGAATGACACTGACAGACTGTCATTAAATAATCCAGTGATTCCCAACCTATTTTCCTTAAAGACCCCCGTTCTTACTTCCTAGCCAATCTGAGACCTCCCAATCCCTCGCTACTCCCCTCTCCCAAAAGACTCATTAAGATTAATCTCTTTATCAAAGTGATAAAAGAATAAAGTAAATATTATAAGTAATAGTAATATAAGTAAATATAGAATAAAGTCAATAAAAGAAAACAGTAAATAGTTACAAACTTTTATTTGTAAAAGGTATAAACTAGTAGTTTTACAACAGAAATAACTACAGGAACACAGTTTTGAGAATTACTCAAATAATTTTTCTTTAAAAACTAACAACAGAGTATTTTTAAAAACACTTAAAAAATAAAAAATTGTAGGTTTGTCAAGATAATAAACTCTGGGCATGTACACACAGCTCTAACAAAAACAAAGACTAATGTGTATATGCATACATACACACATACATACATACATATATGTATGTCCACATACATACACATATATAGATAT